CATATTGAGAGACACGAAAGTGCAAGTATTGCCAATTCGATTCAGCTTGTGTTGTGCATGCTTAAGTGAAACAATACAAAAGAATTTAGATCTTCTTGATTCGAGATTTTTTTTTTGGGGGAATTTGAGTGTAGGAAGAATTTGGATTTACAAAGAAAATGGGAAAAGAAGAAGGGTGGGGCTATTCCCACCCCCACAAATCTCCATTCCCACCCTATTTAATTTATCATTATCAAACTACTAAATTCACCCCTTCTATACCCACCTCATTAGTAACTAAACTCACCCTATGCTACATACACCACTTTTAATAAGTAAACCTACTTTATATTTTGTCATAATTAGAGTTTCATTCTCTATCTCATCTCATTCTGCACTCACAAAAATTCTTTTCTAATATGATTTTTTCAGTGAGATACAGGTTAGTATTACATCTTAATTTAATTTTATGTTTGATTTCATGTTTGTTATATAGATTTTTATTATTTTCGGTATGTTTTGATATGTCTATTAAGTTTAATAATTTTTTTATTTAGAATTGATATGTGTGTATATATATGTATGCTTTCAGATTATTTGTTATTTTTTATCTTGTTAAGGTTTTGCATCTATGCTTGTTATTTTTTTTTTGTTCTATTTTGTGTTTGTGCTCGATGTTTTTTTTTCATATTCGGTTTTGCGTCTTATAATTTTGCTTGTTCATTTAATCTTTGCTTTATTTTTTTTCCTTCTTGTTTCGGATTGCTTATTTCTTTCTATTTTTTCCTTGTTTCGTTTTTTTCTTTTTCTTGTTTCGGTCTGCTTATTTCTTTCCCTTTTTTTTTCTTGTTTTGTTCTTTTCTTTTTTCTTATTTCAGCATGCTTGGTTTTTTTAACTTGTTTCTTTTTTGGTTGTTTATTTTTTCTTGTTTCGGTTTTGTTTGGTTTTTTTTTTTTTTTTCTTATTTCATAAATATATTTATGCATTCAAAGTAATTGTTTTCTTTCATTATTTTTTTTTTCTCACGATGACTTCTTTCATTAACGGGGTGTCCATAAAATCAGTGAGTTTAACTATTAATGGTGTATGTAGTATGGAGTGAGCTTAGTTACTAATGGGGCGGAGGGTGTAAAAGAGTTGAACTTAGTAGTTTGATAATGATAAATTAAATGGGGTGGGAATAGCCTCACCCAAAGAAGAAAGACCTATTCACTAGCAACATTACAAATCAATAAATTGACATTATTCTGAGGCATTCACTCTTCAAAATATAGCTTCAGGAGAATCTGAGCATTAAACAAAAAGAAATAGCAAGTGGTCCACCATCATATGTGAACCACATCAAACTTAACTCAAGTTTTACAACTACGGCAAATTTGTTTACAGATTTGTCATTGCAGCACTTCAAAGTTTCTAGCTTTTGTTAGTTGTTTTTACCCAGCGCATGGGATACTCTTGTCATATACATCAAGGATTATACACATCAATGAAATTAGATCCACTTGCTGAAGAAAAAAATGTTTGCATTGCTTTTTTTTTTTACTAAACCTAAAGTAGATCAACCGCGAATTTCCTAGGACAGGTTTAAGGAGATGTTTGGGGTGTATCTATTTTTTTTTTGGGGGGAAGGGAGGGGGAAGGGGAACTTGAACTCTTGACCTCAAGAAGGCAAAACCTTCACAAGGCAAGGAGTATCATTGGACCAAAGACCCATTGGTGTTTGGGGTGTATCTAATTCTATCATTGACTGGTGGTAGTTTATCTAATTCTGAACTTAAATCTGTTTCCTGTTAAACAAAATATCAAGTAAACAAATGACATCTTTGAACTGAATTTATCAATATTACACAATCCACAAAAAAAAGTCAATTCAATTTCAATAGTTGTATGTTTATAAATCAAAATAATGAACTACTATTTCCACGGAGAATACTATGTATTTATACTCGGAACACGTTAATGTGTACTTAAAAGCAATTTGTACCACTTCCAATCCACATTATTTGTACAGCTAAGTGGCAAATCTGTGAACAGAATCCTTGCAACTGAGAAGTGGTTGCTTCTAAAAATGCATTTGTCTTGCTTTTAATCCATTGCTTGAGCACGTTAATGTGCGGTGGCCACCAAGTTGCTGTGGCTGAAAGAATGGCCTCGAACCAATTCACAGAACCTCTATTTATCTAACAGATTCAAGGCAAACAAGAATCCTCCTATACTCACTTATGCTTCAGCTAAGAGATCGTGCTTAAATGAGAAACAAAATCAAAGAAAGAAACACGTTTAGACCGCTACTTTGGTGAATTATTTTTAACAAAGTGAAACTTGCAAGATACGAAGATCATATCAGACTCCAAAAAAAGGCCTTAACAGGAAAAATGCATTCATCCAGTTATTAGGGAAGGGATCGCCTTGCTTTGTTATGCAACAAATATAAAGGGATGTCCAAGTTTTAGAAAACTCAGATCCTAAGACAGGACTAGACCCATTGAGATACTTAGAATGAGAAATGCACCTCAAGAATTACGTACCTAGCATGAAGGAGGCTGTGTTGCAACTCCACCTCAAAGTAGAAAGAAAACTTGAATAATGGCATAATCATTCCAACCATGAACCTACTACAATTGGAATCACTTAATTGAAAGTCGAATAAATATAAATTCTATTGTGCTAGGTAGATAAATAAAGCTTATCGGTCAATATTAGCTAATGGAGGGTGCAAGATTAATTAGTGTCTAGGCGCAAATTTTCTCGACAATCATTAAAATTGTGTTCAATTACTTCTTTTAAATCACATTTATGATCTTTTATTTTCTTGGTAACTATCCCTAGATTGTCCTTGGTGACAAGTTTAACAACTACATCATACTGTCAATGGACCTGAATTAAGTTTCCTAAGTTTTACAGTGACATCTTTAATATTGAGAAGTGAAGGATCTGGTGTTCCAAGCAGCCGAAACCAAATTAACATTAAAGGCTTCTGGTTATAAGATAATTTTCTCACATCTGTAGGTGGAACAAATATGTTGAGTTGCAAGGAAGCTATGCATAATGGAACTTGTGCTGGGATGGAATTCCTATTTAACCAAACTGGATGAACAGAAGGACAACTGGAGTTGTGCCTCATAACTTCACTAATAGGGGAAAAATAACTATCAGATAAAGAGACCTTTGACAAAAATGTGAACTATAAAGTAACATGGACAGGAGAACTTTATAAGACTATTAAGAAAATTACTTGGTCTCCTTGATAATATTGGGGCCTAGAACATCAAGCTCTCATGTCTCAAAATATTTTTTTTCCTTTTTCTATTAGACTTAACCAAAATAAAGGTCTCGGAGCTTACTCAATGATCAAGTATCAGAGAAACAACTGGGAGTACGCACGACATTATCTTGTACTTAGGTTTTGTTGAAATTGAAGAACATATAGAGGAGCATACTTTAACTAACCACACAAACTGCGGGCGGATAAAGAACAGAAACCCAAGAAGAAAACCAAGAAAGAAATCCTTTCTTATGGGCAAAGCTGTATGAATGTTATATGACTGAAACTCATGGAGAATTATAGAACAAAGATTGCACACATAAAGAAGGTCCTAATGGAAGCAATCAAAAGCACTTGCAAGCAGATGGCACCACTTCATGTGACTCTTGGTTTTAAGTCAGTATAGTACATGTAAACCTGATTATAAATCAGCTAAGACATTGATCAAAGTAGATAAGTAAAGTAGTAAATGACACACTTCAACTAAAACCATATATGTACAACCAAAGGGCACAACCTTTTTTCGCATAATATTCCACTAGAAAGACCAGAACACAAAACATAGGCAAGAAGATGGGATCTAGCAAACCAAAACATAATATAGAAGGCAAGAAGATGCAAGGATTTAAAAGCTAAAGGATTCTAAATGTTAAAACTTAAATGCAGCTAAACGTGACCGATTGAAAATTATGCACATAAGAATTTGCTAATGGAGGCAATCAAAAACACACGCAAGCAAATGGCGATCACTTCATATGACTCTCAAATTTAAGTAAGTTCAACAATTGTAAACTTCTTCATAAATCATCCAAGAAAATTGAAAAAACCCTGTGTGCACAACCAAAGGGCATGTATTCTTTTCTGCATACTAGTCCACCAGAAAGACCAATTAAGTTGAAGTTAGAATTGCACAAAAAGGAAACCGTACAAAGAATATTTACCATCCAAAATTTCAAGCAGAACCTGCTGAAATCCTTTAGGAATTGGCTGGCAACTAATAAGTAACAAACTACATGGAGCCAAACTAAAAAGTACATGCTTCAAATCATTGTCTTTTAATTTTCCCTACTGTGTACTAAAGACAAATATCCACAGTTACTGGTAATCAAACTCTAGTAATCATAAATCCTAATATCCACAGTTAGGCAAATTCTGGACACCAGATGGGTTCGGTATCATGGAAGTCACAATCTCTTGTAAAGCCTCTTCCTGATCAACATACAACAGGTCAGCTAGGGAGATACTGTCCCAATTTGTGTTATCTGGCATAAATAGGTCAGCGTAATCCCATGTTTCCAGAGCAGGCAAGCAACATTCTTTAGATATTGGAGACTTTGCTGCACAAGGCATGACATTACTTTGTATTTGACATTTAAATCTGGTTCTTCCACCACAATATAAAGCACCAACACCTAATTTGGGTGCCACTAATGCATCTATGATAGATCCACATTGCGCAACTAGTGTTGTCCCCATGTTATTATTATGGCTCATGTATTCTACATACTGATATCCTTCAAGTTGGGCCACCGAAAGGCTCGGCTCATTGTTGATTACGTGCTAGGGAACAGCTTCACTATCATCTTTTGCTAAGGCAGCCATGATATTATTTGGCACTTGAAATTCTGCAGACCCGTCTTGTCTAGAATATAATGCACCAAATTGAGGGGTCATTGCCATGCTCATGTGTTGCTGATATGGATATCCTTCAAACTGGGCAACAGGGACACCCAATGCAATCTGCTCGTATGGTAGCTATGGAGCAGCTTGATAATGATAATGATCTTCCGCTAACATGGCAAACAAGTCACCCTCTATTAATTCTTGAAAGTTGTTCTGTGACTGTGAGTGTTTGGTTTGTGGTGGTTTCTTCTTCTTGATGCGGCAAAGAACATAGTCTTTGAACAAAACTCTTCCACTGTTCAATGTAGAGTCGGGAAGGCTATACTTAGTCATGTTGTATCCGAGTTTGGCCCTAGTATTTGTGATCTCGTAAACAAAGTTTCTCTTCCATCCGATTATAGTATTCTTCTTCTTTGGATCCAATACAAGACTCGCCTTATCAGAACCCCTCCACGTACCCTTCCCGGCTGCCACCGTGTGTTTAATCCACTAGTTGCTCATCTTCTTCAACTCTGTAAACACATAAACAACTCTCTCTTCTAATCCTGTTTGAAATAGACTCATGGGCTCAATGTCACCATATACATCACACTCGTTCACGACACTTTCACAAGACAATCGACATCCCAATACCTTTAAGGAAAGATAAAGCATCAAGTTTTTCTCCAGACGGTGGAAACGGTAACCGATCCACATATTTTCCATCCCTAGATTTACTATGAAGTACGACCACAATCAAAATAACTCGAAACGGAATAGAAAAACAAAACACACAAATTTAGGTGGTTCTGATTCCACTTAATATTAAAGTCTATATTGACGAAATATAGTGGCAAAATTTCACAAAGTTCTTAAAATAAGAAAACAACATAACATATCACTACTCTATCATTATTAGAGAGAATCACAAAAAATAAAACAAATCTCAAATAAATAGCAATCTGCTGGAGAGAAATATGCTCAATATCAAAGCTTCTAGGCCATTTTAATTCTAATCCCAACAAAAGTCAACCACCTTAATACTTATACTAGACAAAGAAAATATCTCACGTGTTGGACAATCCACCTTTGCAAAAGAAAGATGTATCCAATATATCTAATCCCATTATTTTGAACTACTTTATCCTGACTTCCCAATTCTGTAACCACCAGCTCAATACTCCCACAGGCCACATCTGATGCTTCTTTTGGTTTGTTAGGGATCACTCTTAGTTGTCTCATATTAGTTATGTATTTTTTGAAATAAAATTTAGGTGTATTTAAATGTACCCCACCTTATTATTTTGTTATGGTGATATCGATTTGGACATACCCTTACGTTAATGATTATAAACTTTTAAACAATTTTATTGAGATCTAACTTAAGGATCTAATGAATTAAGATATAAATTCTAATAGTGAGTCCTAATGTTTAATAAACTCCACTATCTATCCAAAATGATCACAAACCATTAGGTCTCCACCAATTAAAGCTCAAATTATGCATTGGGCAACCAATGAGATATGGGGATACAGAGACAAATTGTGAAATGTTATATTCTTATTGTACGATGAGAGTGCTAAAGTTGCCCGCTAATAATAGGGAGATATAAATATTTTATAGAGTTTAATGTTTCAATAGTTACCAAGTACATCGTGGATATATCTAATTCGTAAACTGCACTACTAAGTAACCATTAATGCAATTGAATTAGCATATAATAATGATCATACACAAATATTATAGCCTTTAATGTCATGAAATAAATTATATTACCAAAGACTGTGTTATACATGAATCAATTAATAATGATTTTTGTGAAGATGACCATGAACATGGCATAAGATGTTTCAAAAGCAAGATTTGACCATAAAGTTTTCACCGCCACAACTTTGAATGTGAATTATTTGGTCATATCCAAAAAAGTTGAGCTCTAAAATATACTTATTCACATAGGGTCAAAACCGTTAAGAAGAGTTATTTACAATGTCTAAAATATACTTATTTACAGGGATAGGGTCATACACTGTTACGAAGAGTTAAATGGATGTGGAGTAGTCTTTTACTGTGTGCTCACTAGTCATCATTTTGTCTGTGTTGATCTCCTTACCAAGACCCTTTCAAACTAATGATGGAAATCTGTCTCTGCACTGTAAGGTTCCCTCCCGTTGGCTGGTGGCTATGTATTGGAGATCCGTGCAGGTAGGGTATTCTGCTGAAGCAATATAACTTTCTTGATTTGAATCCTAGTGCTATTATAGGGTAATGCAGTAGTTGGATTTTCTGAAGTCAATCTTGTACAGAGGCCAATCAGAAATTCTGCATTTTTTGTGTTAAAAGCGTGTTTAATAAACACGCTTTTCAAAAAGCAATTAATGTATGTTTACTAACCATGCTTCGCATTTGTGTTCTTCCCCCTATATTTCAACAAAAATTGGATTATTGACTCTATTTTTTAACTGATAGTACCACAAAATATCTAAGGATGAGCTCGATTCCCCACGTCATGCTCACCAGTTCAAGGGCATTGCTCACCAATATTACCTATGGAGCTTGACCTCATACCTCAACCCCCTATGTCCGTATCTCAAGGAAGTTTGTTTAAAGGACATCTAGATCCCACCAAATCCCCCATCTTTCTGGCATCAATCTCCCAATAGGAACAAGTCTTGTGGCACAATAAGGGGCAACTGTTACGAGGAAGGGGAAAAGATCTCACCCCAGATCAAGCAAAGCCTACGAATATCTATAAATAAGAGGCAAAGCCCTCAAAAAGAGGAGAGAGATAGCCATTGTATACTTACAAAATTCTTTCTATAAACACACATAGATATTAATAGAACCAGGAGCAAGAGACTCCCTTAAAGTGGATTAGCCGNTGATTTTTGTGAAGATGACCATGAACATGGCATAAGATGTTTCAAAAGCAAGATTTGACCATAAAGTTTTCACCGCCACAACTTTGAATGTGAATTATTTGGTCATATCCAAAAAAGTTGAGCTCTAAAATATACTTATTCACATAGGGTCAAAACCGTTAAGAAGAGTTATTTACAATGTCTAAAATATACTTATTTACAGGGATAGGGTCATACACTGTTACGAAGAGTTAAATGGATGTGGAGTAGTCTTTTACTGTGTGCTCACTAGTCATCATTTTGTCTGTGTTGATCTCCTTACCAAGACCCTTTCAAACTAATGATGGAAATCTGTCTCTGCACTGTAAGGTTCCCTCCCGTTGGCTGGTGGCTATGTATTGGAGATCCGTGCAGGTAGGGTATTCTGCTGAAGCAATATAACTTTCTTGATTTGAATCCTAGTGCTATTATAGGGTAATGCAGTAGTTGGATTTTCTGAAGTCAATCTTGTACAGAGGCCAATCAGAAATTCTGCATTTTTTGTGTTAAAAGCGTGTTTAATAAACACGCTTTTCAAAAAGCAATTAATGTATGTTTACTAACCATGCTTCGCATTTGTGTTCTTCCCCCTATATTTCAACAAAAATTGGATTATTGACTCTATTTTTTAACTGATAGTACCACAAAATATCTAAGGATGAGCTCGATTCCCCACGTCATGCTCACCAGTTCAAGGGCATTGCTCACCAATATTACCTATGGAGCTTGACCTCATACCTCAACCCCCTATGTCCGTATCTCAAGGAAGTTTGTTTAAAGGACATCTAGATCCCACCAAATCCCCCATCTTTCTGGCATCAATCTCCCAATAGGAACAAGTCTTGTGGCACAATAAGGGGCAACTGTTACGAGGAAGGGGAAAAGATCTCACCCCAGATCAAGCAAAGCCTACGAATATCTATAAATAAGAGGCAAAGCCCTCAAAAAGAGGAGAGAGATAGCCATTGTATACTTACAAAATTCTTTCTATAAACACACATAGATATTAATAGAACCAGGAGCAAGAGACTCCCTTAAAGTGGATTAGCCGAGCTCCCAAGCAAGTGAACCACTATAAACACTGTGCGTAATCATCTATTAATCCCTAAAGCCCAGTTCCTTAGAGCCTTGGAGTTGAGACTAAATTATTCAGTGCATCTTATATCCATACCTCTGTCCAGTCGCATTAATAACACCAATAGTTGGCGCCGTCTGTGGGAACGACTGTCTCCCGTAAAAATATACACTAATTTTCTTTAGTAATTGATGGTTTCTACACGCAACATGAGCAAAGGACAAGCGAATCTTCCTCAGTTACAGAACCAACAAGAAGCTGCCACCGGGAGACAACAAGAAAACCCCTATGATTTCTTTCCTACACTTGAAGTCGATCCCCCCATAGGGAACCCCACACCTAACAACAAATTGGAGGTCCTATGCCTAACCAATCAACACCTCCTCCAATAGAACGAGGAGTTGTTGAATATTATTCATCATCCACAAAGAGTACAACCAGCCTAGAATGATCCCCCTCAGAGGGAAAGACATCACCGAGGGAGATGAGCACAACCAAACTATAGGCAATGCTCATCGTTGAATTCGCAGGAATATGGATGACGAGGAAGTGCAAAATCAAAACAGGAAAACTCATAATAATAAATTTCCCCTGTTTCAACAGGAAAGGAAGGAGCAATATTGGGAACAATGCTTCAAAGACATTCAATAGGAGCTCATCCACATGAAAGAGGCTGTTAAAAACAAAACTCCAGTGACTATGGATGCCTTAATCCAACAGACTGAGTCCCCATTCACCGCACAGGTACTACACTTCCCACTTTCACCTAAATTCAGAATGCCCCAAATGGAGGCCTTTGATGGAACAAAAGATCTCATGGACCACTTCAACACCTACAAGAATCAAATGGAACTACATGGGTACCAGGATCCAGTATAATGTCGGGCCTTTGCCATCATTTTAAAAGTTTCAACCCTAACATGGTTCAATAGATTGCCCCCATCATCCATTTCTTCCTTCAGGGAGCTCTCCATCTCCTTTGTATCGCACTTCATAGGAGCTCGGACTTATCAAAAACCAAGTTGTCACCTGTTGAATGTGAAACAAGGGCCCAATGAAATCCTACAGAGTTATGTTCAAAAATTCAACTCAAAATCCCTAAAAGTGGATATTCTAGATGAGAAATTCGCCGTCACTGCCTTTATTGCAAGGATAGGAATCTAGTCAAAGGACCTAATGTTCTCTATTTCCAAAAATCCACAAGCTAGTAAGGCAGAAATCCTCACCAAGGCAGAAAAGTACATCACTGGCAAGGAAGCACTCTTATAGGCAGGAAACACATCCACACACAAGGAAAAGGAGAAAAAGAGAGACCGAAGTCCTAGAAAAGAAAGAAGTAGAGATAGATCTCCTCAAAGAGATAGGGACTGCTCTCTGAAAAGGAGAGGAGATGTCAGAGATTGCCTTAGTCTGTCACCGCGAGAGCTATAGCCAATATTTGCACCTCGACAATGCACTCCCTCCCATCCACAGTGTCCCAGGTCTTTTATGAGATACAAAACGAAAAATTCTTATATTGCCCACCTCGAATGAAGCCAGATCCTGCGAAAAGGGATGCAACAAAATATTACGAATACTAGAGGGACCACAACCTTCTCACTGACGACTGTATCCAATTGAAGAAGGAGGTCGAGTTCTTGATCTAGCTGGGATAATTATGCCGCTTTGTGGCGCAAGACAATCAGAATCGAGCTCAACCACCCCAGTACCTCAGCAGTAGGTCCCTGTGCAGCATCAACAACCTCTAGGAGAG